CCACCACCACCACCACCACCACCACCACCACCACCACCACCACCACCACCACCACCAACACCACCACCGTGAGACGTCTGTAGCTATTTCAGTGTGGCAATTTGCTTGACAAGGTAAGCCACGTGGTAGCTCTGGCAAAAATGATCCCATGAGTTCTGCGTCTAGGGATCCTATGATTTTGCCGCCACGGACGCCTCATTTCGATTGGTTCGTTTGCGTGGCGATCTGCTATGGCACGTAGTGCGCAGCGAAGGCAGAAAGCTGGAGGCGAGAGGGTGACAGACTATCACCTTAATGAACACGACAGCAGACACGCACGAATTGCTTATAAGGGCGATTTACCGAGTTGGTGTCCAGGCAGACGTCCTTTTTTCCTTCTTCAGCTACGGGTTCGGCTGGTCGCGACTGCTCAAACCGACCCTCTTCCAAGTGCTCGCCTTCACGTACCTCGGCGCCGTCGCCGTCTTCCGCGCCTGCCCGCGTCGATGCGCCCTCGTCGGCCTGCTGCGCGGGCCGCTGCTCGTCGGGCTGCTGGCGGGCAGCTTCGTCGGCGGCGTCGTCTGCCTCGGCGGCCACGCGGACACCGCGCGCAGCCTCGAGGACTGCCTCGCCGTCACCGCCGCGTCCCTCGCCGGCCTGCTGCTTGCGTCTCGCGCCCTCGCCTCCCTCCCCCCGTGCCCGCCTCCGCCAGTCCGTTTCACGTGGAGCGCCAACAGGCACCTCGAAGTCGCCTGCCTGTCTCCTGTCTTCCGACCCTGATCCAAACACAATTCAGATCGCCACTTTTTTTGCACTTTTGCATCTTCTTTTTGTTTTGAATTCTTATATTCACTAAGAAACGCAGAGATTTCTTGAAACTCTCCATTCTTCTTATTCGTCCTGCCGTTTGCTAAAAGGGCCAAAATCCACGTTCTGGGGATTTTCTGGTTGTGAATCTGAGTCTACAGATAGACAGAACTTTTTGTGGCAAAATTGAAGGGACTACCACTGATACCTAGTTGATATTCATTGGCACTTTTCGTATAGTAAACCCTTTCGCAGCCAATAGACGTAGCCGTGTAGCAACGTACCAAGGGCGCTGACAAATTGGACCACACCGAGTCCGGCCGATCAGAGGGCGGATGGGGAAATGGACATTAATGAGCGGGGCAGGCAGCGTGGTGGATTCGGATAGACGGTGCCTGACCTACGGTTCTGGCTTGTTAGTGGTCAATAAAGCCAGTCTTGTTCAAACTAAGGCTCGAATATTCTTCCATGCGCACCCAGGCAGCACCAAGTTTTGCGCGCGCAAGCCAGCCAATCACATGGCAGCCACCGCCTCCCGTCCCGTCGCACCTTACACACGCATCATTAGGCGGAAATGAGTTCCTCTCTATCGGTTCTATTTTTGGTCATCGTTTTCTATGGAAGTTCTGCAGTTGGTGCGAAGCTGGCGGAGCTGGGTGTCGAGATTCGGTATGTGCCGTGTGAAAGGTTTGTGGTGAAGGGCGATTTTGTGCACGTCTACTACACTGGACGCCTGTACGAGACCAAGGAGGAGTTCGACTCAAATGTTGGCGGTGAACCCCTTGGGATAACTGTCGGTGCGGGCCAGGTTATTGCTGGCTGGGAGAAGGGACTCATCGGGTATGTCCGTTGTTTATTAACCCTTCAGTTGCTAATACACACACACACGTGTAAGCATTTGCCAGGAGGATGCTGGGTGTGTGTTCGTGTAATTGTTGCAACTCGAAAATCCTCACCGAGCTCCCCTTACTTGTTCATTAAAACAACAATCGCAATTGATGCTGATAGTGACGTGGCCTGTTCCAATTGGCCGTACCGACAGACGTGCGCGCCTACGTGGCAGCACAGCGTTACGACTATAACAGGCATGCTTCGTGCGGGTTTTGGTTTGACATACTGGCAATTTACAATCGTCTGTTGAATTGCCATGACATTCCAGCAGTGTACTAGCTCGGTTAAATGCGTTTTCGAAGACGGAAGCAACGATTTTGGATAACTTTCCATGGCCTAGGTCTGGCTGAAGCACCATCGACAAAACTACATGGGCAAAGTTGACAATTGGACACTATCTGTGTAGGAGAGATTTCCTACCTATGGTTTGTTGTGTTTCTCAAACGATGAAGTAGTGGACGCATGCGATTCGGTATGCTCGTTAGCGTGCTGTTTAATACCACAATGGGAAGGGCTACTTGCGTCAAACACAGCGATGAATCGACCACTGCCAAAAAGGCGACGGTGCATACTTTTTTGGGGTTTTAGAACCTGCGAGGGTGAACAGCGGCGACTCCTGATCCCCAGTGAGATGGCCTACGGAAGCCGCGGCTATTCCAACCTCATTCCTCCGAATTCCGATCTGGAATTCGACATTGAACTCGTGCGAATAGATAAGAGGAATGATGAATTGTGAATAAATATCGTCGTTATGGTTTACATCGATGAAATTCTATTTGCTTTTGTAAAACCCATGACTGGAAAATCGGATTCACGCGAACACATTCCTTGGTCAGACAATCTACAAAACCACACAGTCGATGAATCAACAGTAACAGTCAACAGTGAGCAATCAATCCGTCCGAACCCGCTTTACTAGTTGAAAAATTTTAAACTCATTCTCTTGCTCGGAAAATTTCCTCACCCACTGATGCATTAAGATATGTTGGTTTATCAGGAGCCTTCCAGCGATGCGTCAGTTGACACTAAAACGTATCATATTAGTGGTGCAATTGCTTGGATGTCTGGAATTCAGTCAGTGCCAAGGAAAGCAATTATGAAGCATTCGTTCTGGAATAAATCCAACATTTTTCTTCAAATAAAGATTAAACATGAATAAGTGCTTTGTACTGAATAATTCGACATTTTCGTAGCTGATTTTGCCCAGACTTGTCTGGTGACTCTTAGCACTACACAGCGCTACATAAAATTGACAGAAAATCTTGAATTCGGCATGTTTAAACAAAGTAGCATAAATAAGTACTTTTAGACGATGCTGCTGCACTTCTATATAAATAGCTTGAAGTATAAACATTTTATAGACCGAAGTAATTCAATACGGAGTTCATCTTACTTTCTTAGAGGTGTTTGAGAACGAGTCGCTGATGGTGCTCTAAGCACAGATTTGTCAGCGTTGATAAGTCACGACCCAATTCAATATTAACTTAGGCACACAGTCAGCCACTGAACCACTTGTTACTCCAAGCGCTTGTTTATGTGCGTACCCTCGAGCGAACGTAACAAAACAAAACCCAATCTGTCAGGTGAATAATTGGCTGTGCCCACCCTGACCTATCACCTCGGGCTGTGTAAGCCGGAGGTAAAGAGCAGAGGCAGCAGATCCACTTCTAAAGAGTACAACCCTACGTCTCTTGCAGGCAAGCCCAGTCGCGCTTTCAGGGGCGACCAAAATGCGAAACCAGTAAAAATCGATAAACACGCAGGACCACGCACGCACACAAAAATGCCACGTTGCCGGTGTGTGTGACTACTGCTTTTAGCCCCTAGTGCACGCGTGCCTGCGTCTGCCCATCCCCCGTTTTGAACACGCAAGATATGCGCGTGTGCGCTCGCTTAACCTCAGGGCGCAGCTACAGCCTACCGTGGAAATGCGTGCAAAAAAGGTTTTAAACTACGCCTTGGAGTAACGAACGGTGTTGCAAGTTGTCATGGTTGGTGTAATGTGCATGCAAAGCGGTGTGAAGTGGACTCGAACCTTGAGGGGACTTCACGTGTGGGCTTCGTTTGAACGCCACGACATCTGCACTAGCAGGCTATTTCCACGGCTTAACAATTCATGCTTGCTTAATCACCGGATCGTGAGGATGGCCAATTTCAGCTTTTGAAGAATCTTGCTCATAAGCACATTGTAGGGAGGCTCGAACGCACAGACTAGAGGGCATAAGCTGCGCCTTACGGTGCACCGATTTGACCTTGAACAAGATTCACCAGGCGCGCGACCTGCCTCCTAAAATATGCCTCGGTTGCACAGTCATAGCGACTAGGGCTCCTTGAATAAATGCAAAAGCCTTTCACAAATCATAGTCAATTTGTACTAAAAATCTTCTCTTTCCATAGATCAATCTTGTCAAGTGCTACAAAACGTTGGCTAATTTGAGGGAGAGCCAGGTACATGGGATGGACGGGGGAGGAAGGAGGGGGGGGTGCCAATAGTGCTGTCACCTCACACATGGTGCGATGAGTTATCGGGGGTTCGACATTGCAGCCGTCGACTTGGAAGCCAAGTGGAGGAGAGTGAGGGATCCTGGTGGCCGGCGTCCTCTTCGGCAGGCTGCGGGACCGGAAACGCCTCCGTGGAGGCCTCAGGGATGTAGTCGAGATCTAGGTCGGGGTCCACAAGCTCGACAGCAACTGCGCTGCTAGTCCTCACCTCCAGTGCTGTAGCTGCGTCGTTCCAGACATCGGATACACACATCACTGCGGCTGCTGCTGCTGCTGGCGCCAAGGAATGCTGCAAAACACAGCGTGGATCAGCTGTTAAAGTAGCCATTTATCGACCGGTCTAGTTATATTTTCTGGTCCCCAACCTCCCATTTTAGCCTCGAAAAAGTACAACCGGCACCCAGTAAGAGGCGAAAAGATGCATGTTTCTTCCAAACTCCTTCTCCCCTCTATAAGCCGGCAATTGGTGTTTAAATGAATGTCACGGCAAAAGGACATTTCGAATAAGCCGCACACTCTCTTAGGTGCTTTACGATTGCAAATTTGACTCCCAACGAAAGCAATCGTCATTCAATTCAAAGTCTTCGCGCTTGTTCAGGGCCCCAGTATGTGGTCTTGAACCACGCCGGGGCCACGGAAATAACCCTGGCCCGATTACGCTTCCCTGATACCCGCGATGAAGAAAAAGACTGGTGTGGACGACGTGGACACAAGCGTTTACTTCAGAGCTCAACCACGTTAGTGTCGCTGTGTCGTGGGTCATAGATGAGCTAACATGGAGACCTAGGTGTGAGGATAATCCAAGACAAATATTTCCGCGGCTGGCTACATGCTGTAAAACGAGGGACCCTGTGCCGGAGGCTGGAGTGATAGGATTAGCGAGTGTGAATCGACGCGATCCACAGCAAGCTAAAGGTACCGAGGATGTTAATGAATCTAAAAACACCTTTATCTTAGCCTTCAGTAAATAACAAGAAGATGCATTCGATTTCGTTAAACAAGAGCCATACAACGTTGCCAAGAATTAAATTAAAGCCAAACATGAAGCAGTATGAACGGTTATGCGAAGATGCGCTTGCGGAAACATCAAGTTGACGTTATTCAACGACATGAAACGAAAAGTGACTCTCTAGACGCAATGTTTGTCACCGAAATCCATCTAAAACTAATACAGCTTGTTTTTGTGTAAATTACCACCCTTGCAGCTAGCCACTCAACATTCACGTTGTTTTTATTTCCTCGGTTACACTCCCAAGAGAGCGAGCTCTAATCCAGAGGACGGAAATAACACAGCATAGTTGGCAAGCCTTACCGTGCCGTGCATTCCCAAGGGCTCGGCGGCTTCGACGACAGTCAGAGACGAGCACGCGGTGATGTCGTGCGCGGGCATGACCAGCTCGTCGTCAACGGCGAC